AAATCAGCTCATTTGTGACAGACCGACACATTCTGAGAGTAGCCTAAACCCGAACAGTCAGAAACATGACCTGCAATTTCCACAGGTTATGAAAACACACAGCTGCACTATTGGGTGAAGAAGGGGAAGTGGACTGATGGATAAAGGGTGAAGAGAGGAGGCGTCAACAGCCAGAAAATTCTGCTCTTCCTTTCCTCCTTCACTCCCCCAGCACTTACATAATGTTTCAATGGAAACAAAGCAGAGGAGGAAACAAACAAGCAACAAGCTCCCTCACGGTCTCTGCTGCTAAGCAGCCATTGCCAAGACTGTAGCAGACAATTTAAGACAATGTTTGTGCTCACAGAGAATGCTGTTTGTGTGTTTTGTTTGTGCACTTGGTGGCAAGTGCATCTGTACATGGATGTATGTGTTGTTGTAACCAGGAATATGTAAGTCAACTTTAGAAAAGTGTGCTTATATAGCTGCCATTGAGACCCAGGGCTTCTGGAAGCTGCAGCATACAAAGAGGCTCTTTAGTCTGTCACGGACATTCTGTGCTGAACATGATCAGCACATAGAAAGTTCTCTCATCAAGATGTCTCTGTGGAGTCACCCGCATTCATCTAGATAGTACAATGTGAAGTTGTACTATTCTCCACTGGACAATTTATTGTGAAGTTCAAAACATTTTGCTGCTTAGACAAATTGATTCCTTGGGTGTAAAAAAACCACAAAAACTAGAGTATATACACTCAACCAACAGGCTTTGGCCTTAGTCAAAACCCCAAATAGGACAGTCGAAGTCACATAATCAAAACCCTGCACAATGTGCAATCATGTATCTATATTTATATCGCTAAACACAATATTCTGTGCTAAAGCTTACCCTACCTGAAAGACTGTATAAAAGGAGTATTGACTCATTTGACAAGCAGTGAGAAATTTACAGATCTGTACATCCGTGAACTCAAATAATAGCTACATAAACAACAACATAGAAGAGCAAACATATCAAGTCAGGATTCAGCATGCATAAGAAAGGCAGTTTTCAGAACTACAATGCACAAATCCTATACAGAAAGGATAATCATAACCAGTTTTGGGGGAAATGTCTGTGTCTGTTATTATTTATCAAAATTGAAGAACTACGCTAATCTGCTTTATCAGGATTGTGTGGGCAACAAACAACCCCACAGCTGTCACCAGATTTAGATTCAAATAATGCTTAATTCAGAGTGGTGCATGAAAGCACCACCCACTTTAAATCTATAGAAATAACACAGCAAAAGACACAACACATACATTTCTCATGTGAAATAATCAAAACTGTTTGTGTAGGACCCTGTCGCCTGTAGTAACAAGTTGATTGAGAAAACAGATTTTTGTCTTGTGTTCCCAGGGAGAAGCTGAGAGTTGGAGGGAACCAGTTAATGGAGTTAAAAGAGGCCCTGGATCGTTGCGTTGGGACCACGGGTCATAACATCAGCTTTACCACGTAGCCCTGATTGGACCAGTGCACGCACGTCAGCCTAACAGTCGCACTGAATTAACTGATATGCTTTACTTCACGTAAAACATGTAAGTTAAAAGGATGTCTGCTCATACTGTGCCTCTGGTGACTCAACCTGTTTACCTTTTTTAATTTCCATGTATAGAACTGTTTCTTGTGACAGACACATTGTTGTTCTGTTTCCCTGAATGAATGGATGTCTGTGGATGTTCTCCATCATTCTAAAATTCACTACATTAGTTAAACAGAGCTTGTATTTTGTGATTCAGCTGCATCAGATACTGCTTTCAGTGTTATATTCCTTCAGCTGTTTTACACCTGGTTCTCATATCTCCGGCCATATCACAATGTAACAGAGATTTCTCTTCAATTTGAGTTCAGCCAGTATATAAAATACACATAAAATACATTTTGTTAAAATTGATAAGTTAAATCACAGTGCTGTTTTTTTATTATTTTTTAAAATGTTATATCAGCTTTTGAAGCACAGTTTGTTACACAGTGTGCAAAACATAGAACTTGGGAAATGTATTTAGTGATTTTTTTGGACCTTGTGAATGTGTAATTCAACAATGTGCGGAGTCTTGGGACCCACTGTGATAACGGACTGAGAGCCTTTTTTTTACTCACAACAGTAAACTATATTTTAATGTCTGTTCACTATTTTTCAACCCAGACCCTATTAAAAAGTTGTTTCCCATTGTTTATGATTGTTCAACTTCCCTCAAAGATTCAGTTTAGAAAAGCTTACTGCTGCTTCTCACTGGGCTTAAAGGAATAGTACTACATTTTGATTATTGCTGAGAGTTTGATGAGAAGAATGAAACCACTCTTAGTCCATTAAATATGAAGCTAGAGCTAGGAGGCGATTAGCTAAACTTAGCATAGCATAAAGACTGGAAGCAGGAGGAAACAGTTGGCCTGGCTCTGTCCAATGGTAACAAATGCTGCCTACCAGCTCACTAATTAACACAAATTAAAGTGAAAAAGATGACTACCCCCAGGACAAAAATTAATAATTCCGGGCAGAGAATAGCCATCAGTGAGATCACGAAAAAATCTTTGAAGATGCAACCTACTTTTTGTTTAGATTTTCCCCTAAGGTTTGCTTATGTTACCGAATCACAGAGTAATGTACGGAGTGTTGAAGGCACTGATGGGGCTACACCGGGCCAAGAAATAGGCCGGCACATAACCCCCTTGAAGTCAAATAACCTTTATACCATTTGGTTTTTGTACAGATTAAATAAATGAGATATAACGTAAAATAATAATAAAATTATTATTATTATAAGATAATAATTAGTGAGCTGTAGAGGTGCTGGTGGGCAGAGTTTACCTTTGGACAGAACCAGGTTAGATGTTAACCCGTTTCCAGTCTTTGTGCTTAGCTAGGCAAAATGTCTTCATATTTAGCTTACAGACATGATAAAAAAGGTAGTGATAGTTTTCAAAAATTAAAATTTTCTGCATACTCATGATTTTCCAAGCCACTTTAGCCTTTTCACAACCAAATAAGAAGAGAAGGAAACAAAGCATTAAAACCTGAAAGTTTGTTTTGAAACCCCCTTTTTTATCAGAAGAACATGTGGACATGTTTGACTATCATTTGAGAGAAACACCATTTTAGGTCTAGTTTGAAAACTAGTGAACTTAAGTTTTCAGCTTGCATAGGTTTTGTTGATTTTGAGGAAAATGTAAATAATTTGAGAAGAAAATATATTTTATGTGAAGGACTTAAATATTTACAAGAAATTAAAAAAAATGTTTTGAAGCATTGTCTCGCTGAAGTCTTTTCTTGTCTGTATTATTTGTTTCCATTTTTGTTTGAGTAGAAGTGATTTCCAAACTAATTTAGCTTCAGTAATTTTAACATCGTAATCGTAACACGTATTTCTTGAGAAGAGAAGAGAGGCTCACCTGCGTAGTAGGCTAAGGGGATTAGAGCATAGGTGACGCCAGCAGACAGTCTGAAATTACACCTGCTCCTGCTGTGACACACAGAGGCTAAAGCATCAATGCCAATGATCATCTGAATTCACTGAACTTCCTGTGTCATTAAATTGTCGCTGTTGGACACGATGTAGACACAGCTGTTATTGAATTGTTAATGATTTGTTCAGTTGTAATGTTGGACTCTGGCATTGATTTCTTTGTTCGTCTGTATCGTCTGCGTCATAGGTTTTTGGCTATCATAGAAAAAACAACCTAATCATTTATAAAAGTGTGCAGTGCAATTTCAATCTTCTCTTCATTTCTAAATTGAAACCATTTTCATGTCAGAAGCAGTCTATGCCAAAGGAACTTTGTGTGATTTAAAAGCTCACCTTGACCAGAAGTGACCCTTTCTCTCTTTAGATACTATATAATTAAACACCTGGCTAATGTGAAACTTCCTTCCTAGAATCCTAGATTGTTAATGTGATGGATATTCCCCTTAACTTCCACAGAGGAACAACTACAGTTCGCTTTCCTCTTACATTTGTTTTCATAATGGTTTTGTCTAAATTTGGTTTCCTGTGGCTGTTTGTAAACAGGGAGATGAAATTAATATTTTTATACTATATTTGCCTGCTTATTTGCATTTTCATTTTGACATGCATGGTTTTTGTTAATTTACCACTTTAGTTCAGTCAGATGACTGCATAAATTCAAAAGCAAAAAAGAGGTAGACAGACTGATAGGCAAAAAAACCCAAGAGGACAGACTTCTCCCTGCTTCTTTTTTTATATGTGGCCCATGCATGCTGCCTCTCTTTTCTGTGACTGTTGTGTGTCAGCAGAGTATCAGAGGCTAACCTGTGAATGAGCACAGGGAAGGGATTTAATAAACTGGCAGTCAGTGGTGTCTGACGTCACGCAGATGCAGCCAGCTCAGCTGGTCCTCTTTCAATACTCCCAGAGTGAGTCGTTTCCTGCTGAGGTCTGTTAGCCAGCTTAGTATAATCTCCCCTAAAAGACACTTAGAGTAGCAGGGGGGAAAAAAACCTGGCTTAATGTGGTAGTACCTGAGGAAAATGGTGGTGATGAAAGCTTAGACAGCAGTGACCGGGGCACAGCAATTACACGTTGGAAACAGAGGGACAAAGGGTAGACAAGGTAGCAGTAAAAGCTATATTTAGGGTCAGCAAATCTGCCTTTAACCATTTTATGCAAGGCTTGCAGCACCTGACTTTAGCTGCTGATATATGATGTAAAAAGGTTAAAGCCTTTAATGCAATCATAACAGCAGGGGTGTAGGATTGGGGAAGGGGAGGGACAAAGGGGACTGAGTACAAAGATACTAGCCTGAATAGGTGCAGATGCGTCGGAGGGGCCCCAAGGAGAATGCTACAGGGTAGGTTCAGAATTTTGTGCTGTGCCCCTCATAGCCAGATATCTCTTCAATATTTACTGCTCCCTGCCAGTCCTGGCAAGAGGTGCAAACCTAAATAACAATGTAAAACAGTATGGCTAAATTACCCAACATCACTAAGTGACATACATGTAGAAAATAGGCCGAAGACAAATCAGATTTAAATGATTTATTAATTAAGAAATGTTACAAATGTGAAATTTCTCGCTTTAACATTCCTTCCAGAAGAATCTGCCAATGCCTGACACTTTAAAACACAAAAGAAAAAAAAGGATCTTCAGTAAACTGCATCTCTAAATACATCAAGTAGTTAAATCACAATAACAAAAGTTTGGTTAGCAGAAGCATGGTTGTGCATGTGTGGAGTGTGCACAAAATAAAAAAAAAAAAAAAAAAAAAAAAAAAAAAAACTAAAACTGGCACTGGTTAGATTCATTGACTTTAGCTGTCTGCTACTACTTTTAATCGGTAAATCAGCAGTGTATAAAAAATATATAAAAAAAGGCCATCATTTAAGATTCAAAAAGCAATTCAGCTCGTTTAAAATGACGGGTGTTTCTCAACTCACACTCTGAGTAAGGCTTCAAATCACTGACCTTTAAGTATGTGAGCAAAATTACATTTCCACAACAGGAATATTGTTAAATAAACTCAACTTTCAAAAGCCAATTGTCACCACTCCATACTGCCACCTTCCAAGTGACCAATAATTGCTAGCTCATCTGAAAACCCTCAATGAAAGTGACAAACCTTTCAACTCTGAGAAAAAGAAAAGCACTAAATGTGTATTAAATGTTGGCATATGACAAAAAAATGAGGAAGAAACTAAATATATACAGCACAAAAACATTGTATGCAATATGCAAAGGAGTCATGTTGCTTCAGGCAATAACCCCTTTGTCCCCACTTCCCAATGCGCCAAATATAAGCCAGTCTTCACTGAAGACCCCTCATCCCAACAACAACCCCACCCCCCAAATATTCGCTTATACGCACGCTCGCTCACTCACTCAGTCAGTCACACACCACAAAAACACGATTACGTCACTAAGCCTGTTAGTTTGGAAAAAGGTGAAGCACTGAAACTCCCCAACCCCTTCCTTCCCACGTCCCCCGTCTTCCCCCTCTTCAGTCAGAGAGGGGAGACAGGGTCTTGGTGCAGTCGTTCCACTCGTCCGTCTCGGGGTTGTACATCTCCATCGTGTTGAGGAACTCGTTGCCATCGAAGCCGCCCACAGCATAGATCGTTTCGCCCAGCATGGCCACGCCTGCATTGCTGCGTGAAGATGTCATACTACCCAGCATCCTCCACTCATTGCGGGCGGGGTCGTACATCTCCACACAGCGGAGCGCATGGGAGCCGTCAAAGCCACCAACAACAAACAGTTTGCCTGGACAGTGGAGTGAGAGACATTGGTATCAGCATAATGAAAAAACACTGTTTGCTTTTTGGAAATGTGTAGATAAGAAGTCAGTTTTCCAAAGAACATGATTTTCTGGTACCACACACACACGCTGCTAGAACTGTCACTTGCTGAACACACATCTGCGGTTCCACCATTCTCACCAGTTTGTGGTCGTGGTCTTACCTGCATGGACAGCGACGCCAGCGCCCCTGCGAGCCACATTCATCGGGGCTATCAGGGTCCAGGTGTTGTTCTCAGGGTTGTAGCGTTCCACAGTGTTCAGGCAGTTCCACGACTCTGCCCCTCCAATCACGTACATGAAGCCATCCAACTCAGACACCGCTGCCTGGTGCCTCCCTGAAAACAAATTTGCTAAATTAATACAACCTTAAAGACCTCAAGCTTTTCTCTTATTAACCGTTATCCTACTTGTGGTCTCATTCCTAAACATAATGCCCTCTCTGCTCCAACAGTCCAATTTCCCAGAGGGAATAAATAACATTTTACATTAAACACATGGACATTTGTTAGCCCTTTGAAAAATATATCACTCAGCTTTATTCTTGAGGTTAGATCATGTGTGTATCAAAAGGTAAATGGAATGCTCTGAATGTAGATGGGATGTGTGGACACGTACTGATGTTAAGGGAGGCACAGTTGGACCAGGTTTTAGTCACAGGGTCAAAGGCATCACAGTTCTTCAAGCCCTTCTGCCCACAGGGGTCCGACCCTCCCACAACATAGAGTTTGTTGTTCAGAGAGCAGACACCTTTAAACAGAGAGGACAGGGATGAAATAAAAACCTAACCTGAAGTCAGTAACAGAGGCCACCAAGTGTTTTCCTGGATAGAAATCATTAAATTCAACAACTGATTAATAAATCCTTGCAGAGGGGGCTGACCTGCATTGCAGCGGTTTGTCCTCAGCTCTGGCACTTGAGCCCATTCATCAGCGTGTGGATCGTACCTCTCCCCGCAGCTCAGCTCGTCAGAATGTCCATTTGAGCCTCCAATCACGTACAGCTGACCCTGTGAGGGGTGTAAATGGACAGAACATTAGATAACGCATCAACTTGATACTTAAATACTCCCATTTAACTTTTGGTTGTTTTGTATTGTAGAAACTACAAGGACAGACAGCAAGTTTAAAGAACTTAGAAAGCCAAGTATTTGGACAGAGTGTAAGCATGCAAGTATTTGCACAAGACCATGGAAACCTATTTTTATCACTGAATGGGTGCGCTCCTGGGCCAGTATTAAAAATGTCACTTTATTGTAGAGTCAATAATTCTGAGATAAAGACAAATCGTGAACCGTACCATGAGCACAGCCATCTGAAATCGAGCCCTTGGAGTCCGCATGGGAGCGATGAAGGTCCAGCGGTCCTCTTTGGGGTCATAACACTCCACAGTCCTCAGACACTCCTCTCTATTGTAGCCTCCTGCAGGAGCATCAAATACATTAAGGTTAAAGTGGCGCTTCTCTAATGCTCATTTATCCATGATCTGCAGTTAAGTCCCACAAAGACAGAGTTTAGCGTTCACACTAACGGCACTACACAAGAAACTGAGCATGATACGATACTCTTATCTTCTAACCCTGTTTATGTCTAACCTGCTGCGATGAGTCTTCCGTTCAGGGCTGCAGTGCCCAGTCCAGAGCGAGCATAATGCATGGGTGAGAGCGGTTGCTCCTCCAGCTCCTCGGGCTGGGCCTCGAAGCTGAGGCTCTTCATCAGGCAGGGGGTGGCAGAGGGAGATGTCTGAGGGCTGCTGCGACCGTGCAAGAAGATCACACACAACACACTGTCCAGCACAGCCAGACACAGGTAGTTGTTGTCTAGGGGTAAGATTGGAGATTGTTAGGAAGTTTTGGGATTAAGCTCAGAATACTGGAGAAAAAGAAACCATTCTGAATTCAGATGCTTTCAAGTAAAGTTGTTTAGTTTTGAAGTCTTGAATCGACCAGACTTCCAACTTTAATTTCACCTAATCTTATTGTGCAGCATCTATGAACACAAACATATTAAAGAAAAATATCTTTCTGGTTGTACTGCGACAAATCTCATGTAGATCATACACACTTACTTGTGGTCTTCTCAGAGGCGATGTACTTCCACTCTCTCCTGGCAGTCTGTTTCGGGGCATTTGCTGCTTGGTTGGAGGGTGACAGGCTTCCTGAAGAGCTGCAGCTCATCTGTCTCTGGGTGCTCTCCCGTACGGGTTTCTTCTGCAAGAGCACAGCGCAGCTACAGAAGCCAAGCTCGCACCACAGACCCACCAGTAGCCAACACCAGCTAATCATACTCCAAACTACGCTATGATCCAGCTGGTCTAATGTAGACATAATGAACCTTGCATGAATCTTGTCCGAGTATGCATTGAAAAATCTCACGCCATCTGAAGCCAACACAGCACTACAAACTCTCAGTCTCAGACCACTCTACAATCGGATCAAACAGCACACAGTTCAGTCACAACTCAAAACAAAGTGGGTAAGAAGCTGAGACAGCCATCATGAGCCCATGCTCAACTGGTTTAAATTAGCTTAAACATCTAAATATGGTTTTAACATATGCTCAACAGCATAGCCAGGCACTTATAGCTCATATCTTGCTAATCTACTGATATTAGTCTTTACATTGTGGCTAAACTGTAGTACTAAATGAGCCTCCTATGATCTACTTCTAGCCAGGCACAGGCTCTGTAGTATTTGTATGCATGGCCCGGCATAAGCTGTACAATAAGGCTACACACTGCCAAGCAAAATGCGGTAGAGACGTCATTACAGTGAAGCCAGGCACAAGCTGTTGAGTACCTGCACAAACTGAAGGTGGTCCTCCTCGCCACCAAACACCTCACTGTGCCCCTCAATCACCAGCCCTCCATCCACCAGCTTATGGTCAGGTGAGTAGTACAGCATTTGCACCTGAAAGACAAACAGGAACAACACACCCATGTGGCTGTCTCCATGGCAACACACTGAGAGCCCCAGCATAAGGGGGATAGGAGGGAGGAGGAGGAGGAAGAAGAGGGGGGGGGGGGCAATGCTGTAAAGAGGAAGAGGGGGAAGGGACGAATGCCTGGATCTTCAGTCGCTTAAATGGAAAGCTTCCTTTAAAAAGACAGATGCTGCTGCCACTGCACAGAGTGGGTTTAGTGTTTGAGCTCAAGAAGGTATCTGACAGTGGCTCTCCTTAATTTGAATCTAAAAAACAAAAATTTTAAAAAAGAGGAAGAGGGAGCTTGTGAAGAATGAGAGACTGCATCTGGAAATTTCTTCTGTGAAGAATGAAGAGGAGGAGGAGAGAAGGAGCTGCATGTCACCCTTTTTTCACCTCTGCTGCTTGGAAACCAGTCCTCTAGCTGAAGGAGTTGGTCATTGTGATGCCAGCCACGACAGGCAGTCAAATCCAGATGACTAGACGGTAGTGCTGGTGTAGGAACTATCATGCTAATCTTAATCATTATCCCCAGGAATAGAATAAATCCAACAAGAAATAAAATTAAAAAAAAAGACAAACACGTGTTCTGTTTCAGCCAGACAAAGTAAAGAGAATGTGTTCAGGTCACCTAGTCCATCTGAAGGGCAAGTTTTAGAAAAAAGTAAAAGGCTACTAAAAGTGTATAAAATGTGAGAATTGCTTATAATAAATCGTTATAATTTCACTTTGAATTAATAATTAATTTGTAGTCCATTGAAATATAATATTTGTACTAAGCAAATCACTATGCCTATTTGCAATGTTGTTTTCTGTCCAATGCCTAATTTGAGTGGTTTTGAATGTGCCGGTGAATAAAGAAGGCCTGTATGAGAATATATTGTTGTGTGCACTAAAGGGGCATTCAATTAGATGTATTTATTGCTAAAGGTTGGTGAGCAATGTGTTCTGATAAATGCAGAAATGGGATGCATCTGTATATGTGGCATGGACAGATGGGAGCACAGTGTTGCTTAGCTGCAAAGAGAGAATGCTGAGAGGCAGTAGTGCTCCTCTCCTCCCTTTCTTTTCTCTCTGACTCATTACCCTGGTGGCTCAGTCCTGGCTCCTCAGTCTGGTCTCCTGCTGCTGCTAATAAACCTACAGGAGAGATAAATCAACGGGGAGGAGGGCCTGTTAGTACTGGAGCAACAAACGTGCACCTGCTCAGATAGTAAAGTGGCAGTGAGACAGTAGAATCAAGGTTCAGACCTTTGAGAACCTGTGTTTTTCTGTTTCAGAGGAGAAGAGCACTGTAGCACTCAGATGGGGTTGTATGTAAACCAACCACATACCCAAAAGAGAACAGTGGAAACAAAAAACAGAGCAAACGGCAGCTCTTTTCAGCTCACCTCTAATTTGTAGTATGGTTCAGGGGTACAGAGTTTCTTACTGCAAAAACCTCAACAAATCAGAAGAAAAAAAAAAAACAACAATCCTGACATAGCAGCATGACAGTGGCATGCCATTTCTATTTCAGCCCCCTTAATGACATCTTAATGTCAAAAACAGGGGGAGTCAGAGGGAGGGGAAGGGGCAGGGTGGGAATGAATATCAGCCTAAGATTTAAGACTGCAAGCCCTCGTACTGACCTCCTCCATAAGTCGTTCCAGTTGGTCTCCATTTTCCCACAGGCTACGCTGCACCCAGTTGAGCACCTTCGAGTAGAGCTTGCCATTACTGGGCAGGGTCAGGTTGTCTTCTAGCATTACTTCTAACTGTAAACACACAACAGGGATGAAACGGGAGTTAGATTTACACACAGAATGACTAAAGTGATTGCTTAACTTAACTCTTTTATTTCTTACTGGAAAACTTAATGTTACTGGCTGAATATTAATGTATCTGAGAATTAGCTCAATGTGATTCATTGCCTGTTTTAGTACTTAATTTTGCCATAGTGACAGGATTCACAACAGTATCATATTAAGTTGCTTGGAAACCACCCATACCATTCATTAAACCAGTAAGCAAAACATTAAAAACACATTGGGAATAATCACTGATGAAATGTATCTGTGTCTGTCAAAAATTCTCAAGCTCCTATATTTACAAATGGTATGGAGCTGGAAAAAAGGGAAATTTTTCACATTTCAGAAGCTGTAATTAACAGAAGTTTTAATAGATGAAGCATTTCATTGTCATACAAGTAGTTCTCACTCATTTTCTGACTGATCACACAATCATTTCCGCCCCCAGCTAATGTACAATCCTATATCAGGGTAAAACGCAATGGAGGCCATTTAATTTGTCTGACTTGTGCAATCTCAACTAGAGAGTTACCTCCTTAAAGTACCTAGTGTTGTTCTCATGTTGAACAAAGACATACATTCCGTAACCCACCAACGCTTGGTCTTTCTACAGCATATGTTTTAAGTCCCCTGCTATAAATACATTCTTAGGAGGATTTTCCTGTTTAGTAATATGTGTAAAGGGCACGCCTTCATACTGTAAGTATTGTTAATCTTGTGTCAAAGTCAGAAAGCTAAAAATAAAAAGCTTAATACAGTATGTTATTCAACTCTGGCTAATTTTAATGCCAACCTGTGTTGATTTGTAGCTTCATGATCAGAGAATGACCCCAACTCTGACAAAGCATCCATAACTTAGTGGTACTAATTAAACTTACTATAAAATACTTTAACTATTAAAAACATTATGGCATTTGTACATATTCACGCTAGTACCTTGAGGCGGGGAAGTTTGAGGAAGTCCTCCTGTTCAGACACTTCCAGCAGATGGTCCTGGATGAAGGAGTCCACCTTGGCCAAAACTCTGGCATCTCCCATAGAGCTGGCAAAGTTACGAAAAGAGATGGCGTTCTGGGAATCCATTTTAGACAGCAGGTAGTCGCCACAAATCTGAGGAATGAGTGGGATATGTTAAAAGTTAATAAAAAGTAACATTCTTTGTAACCTGTTAAATCATGTGTCCAAAATGGCAGCATTGGGGGAGTAAGTTTGATTAAAAAACAGATGAGGAAAAACATACCTGTTTGACTCGCTCCATCTTAAACCTTTTGGCTGCAGAGTAAACTTCCTTGACCAGTTCCTTGTCTGCCTTTAGCCTGTGTTACACACAGAAGACAGAGAAAAAGAGGTTGTCAATCATTAAGTTAAAAGTTAAGAATTTTGAAGATCAGGCGCAAATGGTCAAATGCGCTACTAACTGGGCAGTATAGGCATAGTTGAGCAAGATCTCTACAGCCTCCGGGTCCAAGTCCTCAAAAGTGACATGTGAGACTCCATGAGGCTCATTATCACTATTAAAGATCTCAAACAGGTAGGGACTGCAACAAGCCAGAACAGCACGGTGAGCCATCAGCTCATGACCACACACCTGGACAAATGAAGAGAAAGAGGAAGACAAACAATTAGGATGTGTAGGAATTTGTTAAAAGAAACCCTATTACAAAACATATTTAGTGTTTCAACATTAAAAGGAAACTAAGATTAACCCTAGATTTTGATTGAGAGAATGTCTATAATAAAAAAGCAACATGATCAATAAAGACAAATGAAAGCCATTAGATTCCCTGTCAATTCTTGATTGGCTGCACATGTCTATGAGAGGTCTGTACAATACAAATGGTGGGAACACTTGACATATGAGAGCAATGGAAACATAACAGGAAACACTGAAGTAAATACAAGAATTTTTCTCAAGGTTCCAAGTGACTCACATGAGTTGAAGAAAAGACATACCATCCCTCAGACCTAGTGAACTATGCTGTATAATCTTAAAACCCTTTTTATTTATCTCTCTCCATCTCTCTCATGTGTGTGTGTTTGCATTAGGCATACCTGCAGTCTAACATCGCAGAACTGACCACTCTTTCTCAGAGCATTCATTTTGGCCACGGTGGAATCCAGGAAACTCTCGTCCTCAAAGATCAAATAACCGTTTGGAATCATTTTTTGATAGTATACCTGCAAAGGAAAGATAAAAATATTTAGATTTATTTTTGCCCAGTAAAGCAATACCCAGCATGCTTGTCTTCTACAATCTGTCAAATATGCTTTCAGTTGTGCAACATTGCAATAGCTGGCTTTATTAATTGTTGACCAGAGAAAAGATTAGGTGCCTGTAATGTGCATTGTGTGTTATAATCTGTCCTATGCATTAGTCAGGGTCTTACCTAATACAGAATAATGCAAATCCAGGGAAGCACCACTGCTGAAAGTAGAACAGGAACCAAAGGTAGGCAATAGGCAAAGTAGACTGAGATCACAGTGGAACCCAAGTCTTCTTCATCTGAGGAGAGGGATCGGAAGTTGCTAGAAGAAATGCCAGTTGACTAAACGGGCGTGAGCAGAAGGGAGAGGGGGAGCAGCCGCACCGACAAACTATCAGGCTTGAAGCGACTGTAATCAAGTCCTCGGGATCCCGTTGGCTATAGAGTTGTACTTATTCTGTGTTGGTCATACATTATAACCTAAAAAAAAAATGAGAAGGGAAAAGGGGATATGAGTTTTATTTAGAGGAGAAAGGGCGAATGGCTCATTTTGAAACTGATGCCACTTGTTCTTGGCACTCGTGCAGTGCTAGCACAAGTCAGTTCCACGTGACAACCATGCGCACAGGGAAGGCAGTTGAGACCACCGCTCTCCCTCCTCCTGCTCCAATGTCATTCTCACAAGCCATTTTCCAAACATGCAGTACAGCTCACAATAGTTTTATATTCCCTACATGCATACAAGAATAGACAATATGATTCAGGAAACATTAGTCACTTCAATTCAGGAAGAAAACTGGAACAGCCTTTTATCCCAAAATGCTCTAAACCAAAATGCATTTAGCATTGGTAGCTAAAGTCAGTGCCATTGACACTCCTCCCTTACAACATCCCCCTTTTAGCGCTTTAAAATCTCCACACCTGCTGCTACGTTCCACCGGGCCAAGCAAGACCATTTAATCCAACTCCTGCCGTCAACTCTGTCTTCACTCTCTCTAAAGCAAGGCCACTCCAACTGTATCTTATGTGACAAGCCCCTTTGGCTGGCTCCTCCCTATAGGAACCCTTCATTCAAACATTGACCTATAAGAAACATGCAGGAGGGAACAGCTTGTGACAGTGTTTCCACAGCCACAGTTTTTCCTATGCAACTACATGGCTGTATTATGAATTCTGGTTGGCCATGATAGGTACTCCATATTTCATGTAACCCTGGACCACAAGCCCCACCTACCCACACTTGCATGTCACACCCAATAGAGATCCCATCTGTCAATATTTCAAGATACTTTATTCTGCTATTAAAGAGTTTGGATTTCTCCATCCGTCAAGCCTCAGGCATCTCAAATTGAGCCAAACAAAAAAAAATCCGACTTGTACCAATGAGACAATTACAACAAAAACTAATACAACTGAAGAAATGCCATGCCTGTCCACCACAACCCCAATACCATCTGCAATCGGAAGCTCAGTAAATAAATCACACTGCAATTCCAACAATTTTATCACCATCCCACAGGGGAAAAGAGGACAAGACAGACCACAGCAGCTGCCCCATAAACTGAAATGTTCCACACCCCATGTGATAAGGTTGTACTGGGTAGCCTGGCTTTGCGCAAGTGTTGTATCCAACTTGCATGCAATTCTAACTCATTAGAAAAAGCTGTGATCTTATCAAGTGCTGCGTATATAATGTACTTGTGACTCTAGCGGCTGTCAGTGGCACATTTCAGTAGAAGTGTTTGAGTCATTGTAAAGGGTTTCTTTTAAGTAAAATCCTCTGGTTTGTGTGCAGAACTTACATTTGTACTAATCAATAATGAAAAAACACTAACAGATAAAAGTAGGTATTTACTCCTCAAAGAAACATGTGACTCTGGGAGACATTCTGTTAACCCTGCTGCCTTCTGGGAAGAGATATAGGAGTTTCTGCTGTCACACCACCAGACTGCAGAGCAGCTTTTCCTCACCAAGCTATCAGACTTAAGCTCAAATTCATCCTCAGCACTGCTCCATTGATCATAGTTTTTCCGTTTTTATTTTATAATTGCTTCTGTATTAATGTATATTAACTGCTATGTAGCAGAAGGGAGTTATACAACTCATTTTCACTATATAACTGTTATATTGTGACAAATAAATGTACCTACCTACCATCTGACAATCTCCTTGTCAGGCACAGAGCAAAAACATATTATAACAATTGTGTACACTGTACACAACGCATGAGTAGACTTCAGGCCATGGAGTTATCCGCTAGCACAATACAGACAATATAAAACACAGCGAGATTAACATTAGAGCAGACAAACAGTATGCCCTTTGTATGCTGCTGAAATAACTATCCTCTCCGCAGTCATATGGTTTGGAGGAAAGCTATACAAGCAAACCCAAGGGTATGTCTGAAAGGCACATTTATGACTGAAATAATATTTGTCTTAACATTTGTCTTCAGCTGTAAAAACAATTCTTGTAAGACATCAGTACACTTTGTATTCAGCAACAGTTATTTTCTGTTGTAATAAGCCTGCCCTTAGCTTTCCAGCAATATTTGTAAAAGCTGGTTGAAAAGGTAAACCACACCATTTCTGATTTAACAAATTACGTAAGAGGTTATGACTTGTCATCGGAAACTGCGATCTATCCAATGTTAAATAAAACACTGCAAGATCAACTAAATGCTCCAATCTAGTGACCTACTAAACCCAAAACCACACTATGCCACTTTAAGAAAGAATAAGTCAAGTATCAGAAAGGGAAAAAGAGGGAATTATGTTGAGCTCTGATTACTTAGCCTCTCATTTGAGTCTGTTTTTTTCTTTTGCCCTTTTGACAACTTCTACACAGCACAATACAAGGGGAAAATAGAAAAGGTCAAAATGTGGTTACATCAGTCTGTAGGGGAAGAAGGAATAAAGGAACTATGAAAAGTACACACTGAACATATTGACGTGCCGTGCTGCCCTACTGTTTTGAGTTTGGCAAAGAAAGGCAGATGTGTAAAACTACCAAGATAAGACTGCTGGGAAACACGCCAGAGATTTTTAATGGGTAAATGCGCATGCACGATGGCACATGCTAGAATACAGGCCTAGTCTTTCTGTATTGCAGTGAGCAGCATTTACAGCAACGCTGGCATGGAAAGCTATAATTCACCCTGTCTGCATGTGGATGGAGGAAACACTGACCCAGTTTTCAGTCGTTACGCAACATCTGGCAGAAGATTCTTTATGAAGGCTCAAAAGCTCAACTCCTCTACACGGTTAGGTCCAGCACGCTCGCTTGTGGCCTTGTTCCCCTCTCTATTCTCCATCTAGCACCCCACCAGGCAAGCTGTGCCCTCAGCTCTCTAGATAATTCTTTAACAGACGTGCTGCCTTAATCACAACTGTGATTAAACAATAAACTTCTGTAAACTGATAAGACAATCTTGGCAAAATGAAAACTGCTACACACTGACTATGTACTAAATAGTTGTCTTCTAGGGAAATTGTTGCCCTTCGGTAACCTTATGGGCACGCAAGATTCATCTCTAAAAACTACAGTGAAAACAGAAAATAATTGACAAGATCAGATCGAGGGCTGCGCACATAGGAATTTATGTATAGACCAAAATGCCAGGCAGACTTGGTGAGCTGTAAATGTGGATTTATGGGAACACACTAAAAAAACCAGGAAAGAAAAGGAGAGGACAAAGCAAAGGCACAAAAGAGAAAGAATGAGATTGTTCACAACTTTGTCACAGAGAGTAGCTCTGAATCAGAAAAGAATGTGTTTTCCCTCTCCATTTTTCCATCTGATTAGTCAGGCACAAAAGTGCAGGTCTGCCGCTGAACAATCAATGCTTGTTAGACACCCCTCCAGTGGTGAAGAGAGGCATTGCTGGAGATTTCCCCCAGTTTTACTGTGTGGAAATGTATGCTTAAATTTAATACATCTTGGAATAAGGGTGTGACAATAAAAAACAAATTAAGGAGGCATTAAACATTGTATTGGCTTGTGTTGATAAAAACAAAATCCACATCCTTTATCAAAGCAGTAGCAAAACTGATATCAATGCAACATATGCATCAGCACACTCCACAAAACAATGGAAAACATATCAAATGTGTAAAAATCCTCCACATTCAAAAACTCATTTTGATACCACTAGAAGAAAGGGGAACATGTCTACATGTGTCACTCAGACAGTAAGGATATTTTATTAATCATCTACCGGATACAAAGAGACTGCTAAATGTTTGTCCTTCTTCGTGAAATCGTCAAGCTACCCAGTTATTTGGGATTTTTCAACGTGGTTGCCAGCTTCAGAACCGGATTAAAAGCACAGTAGGTCAAATACTACTGTGGCATTAGTCAACCTGCAGGCAGGAAACACTATACAACTCCTTAAGGAAATATCAAACGTTGAGAGTCACCTACACAATTTCCTTTTACTAGACAATCGATATAGTATAGCCAATAATGTTCAACGTCGACAACAACGGTGACGCGTCAGTATTAACGTTATGTCAAGACTAGCCAGTCTTGTTTTATATAACGTTAGTCTTTGGTCACAGCTCATAAAATCTGACAATATGGCACTAAATGGAGGGCGAGTTAAGGACAGGATGTACCCATGCCATGTTACCCCACCCAGTGGAAGAGTCGTACAGTTGACCTCCCAGTATATCGTATTTGTCTAACGTTATTCGCTGCAAAGCAATGTCATTCATCTGCCTGCCTCCTCCTCCTCTGTAGAGTAAACGTACCAGGGCCATGATGTCTGGCGTTATACCAAGAAGTCATTTAGCTAGTCTGCACACATATCCCGCCACCAGAAACTGGGTCAGGAACAAGAGCCCCCCCCCCCCAGAATCTGATTAACTCGGCTTTTACACGGATTACTCGGACGATACAAATGCTTTAGCCTACAAGGGAGGTACCGCTAACGTTAATGTTTTAGGCATCCGGCTGGAACTGGAAGCCAAGCAGCTAGCTAGCAACGTGAATAGAGATGGAGAGGTCTGGCACGCTCGGAAGCTAGCCTTCTTAGACACCTTAGACTGCTTAACCTAGCTAGGATGGGGGAGCCATAAGACATGCCCGCCGGCTTAATTCATTAAGGAACGCATTCGGTCGTTTTCCCTTGTCCGTGCTCAACCAGCGCGAGGAGTAGTTTCAGTTTTGCCTGGCAATATATGCAAAATATCCGCGTCATTATAAACGTTAACACAAGCTGGATGAGGAAAACGGCGGTTTGTGTGACATTGTCGGCGCCGTAACGGTACAAGAGGCATTTCCAGCTGTTACTTACCACCCAGTCTGCGCAAATACAACAGCTAACGTTACCATTCATTAAAACGCTAAATTAATATATTAGCAGTAAGGGTCAGCTAAAGAATGACGGTCACATTAGCATCCACTGTAACCAACGGCAGATTTAATGGTTTATCCACATTTTAACAGCTAACGTTACTTGACAAAGACATCAGTATCATTTCCTCTATAATATTGAAAACAGAAAAAATCTTACCTGAGGCGTTTGACAACAAACGATATTAGACATATTTAATGCGAATTCAGAGTTGGTTGGTTCGGGTTAGAGGAAAGACGCAACGCGGCTACAGGCACAGCTTGTTGAGCTAGTACTAGTTGGTGTCTGATCTCGCTGTGTAGTGGATGCACGTCCACCCTCCGTCTAGTCTTCACTAGTTCTGATAGAATGGCGTCGGTAACGTCAAAGCGCGCTCCCGACAAAACCTGTGACACCGCCACGCCACTGTGACGTAAACAGAGGTGGGCGGTCTTAAAACGCCTACTCTGAAGGTGATGAAATCCAGGATGCAATACCGTGAATGGGTCATTTACAGAGACTGTATAAAAAAATATATATACAGTATAGGCTAGTTCAAAAGTTTGGGGTGACTTGGACATTTCCTTGTTTTCGAATGATTGAATTCGAATTGTCATACTATGATTGCAAAAGGGTTTTCCAGTGATCAATTAGCGTTTTAAAATGATAAACTTGGATTAGCAAACACAGCTTGCCTTTGGAACACAAGGCTGATGGTTGCTGATAATGGACCTCTGTACATATGTAGATATTTCATTACAAATTAACCATTTTCAGCAACAATAGTCATTTACAACATTTGCAATGTCTACACTGTATTTGTGATCAAGTTGATGTTATTTAATTAATGTACAAAAATGTTTATTCGAAAACAAGGTGTCCAAGTAACCCCAAACATTTGAACGGTAGTGTACATAATAAATATAAGTAATTTATAGTAAAAATAAAATCACCTTAAGTAGGCTACCTTCTGTATTTCAGTTAATTGTTTGCGTCATGATGTTTCCAATGCTATCCTTTCCTTCAATCAGTAGATAGGAAAAAAATTAGAAGATTTTAGAACTATGAAGTAGTAAAGTTTGCCACAGTGGAAAATAAAAGTGAAAAAGTGCTACCTTCAAACTTGTCCTTAAACAAGACGTCTATTTGGCAGTAAAATGTATCAGTAAAGTATCAACAGTAAAAGTAAACTCATTGCAAAGTACAGTAGGCTATAATTTGATCAATGCTGTGAGACTTTGGGAGATTCACATGTGCTCAGATCAGGTGAAGAAGGAAAGGAAGGAAAGAAAGAAATATAAAAAAACAAAAAATAAAGTTCAGAGAAAAAATTTAATGAAAAAGGAAATTGTGATATCAGCAATATGTTATGACATTGGCTTTATACTTTTGAGTACAGTAGTTTTCTTGCCTAAATCTACTACAGTAATGAATATCCAATTATGCCCTCAAAATTGAGGTCAGAGAGCAAGTGAGCTTCAAGTAGTAGTAGGACTAGTAGGACACTTCAGCTGGGTGGAAGCTTGCTGAGTAAAGTCCACTTGGTCCTGGGTCTAACATGGACCCAGCATTGCTCCTCTGCCTTTTGCTTGTCATTGGAATTCTCTCTTTTCCATTTTGTTTCCTGTGTTTTGAATGCATTAGCCCCTCAATGTATGCTGCCGTTAAGAAGGAACATCCGGGCTCAATCCTGTCCACTACTACAGACGTCATCTAGAGGAAGAAGAATCCATTCATCTGCCTTGACTCAAGAGCTTAGTACTACCTCACTACGTCAGTAATTAGATTACAGGATAAGAATCGCTTCAATACCCGTGTGTCAGCCAGCCTTTGTATCTGAACAAGGAGTGTGTACGTGCATGTCTGTATTCATCTACATGTGAAGTTGTTTGTGAAAGCCTGGCACCAGATGAAACTTGGTGACAGCAGCACAAGAGCATTTGGCCACAGCCTTGAAAGTACACTGACCATTGTGTTGAAAACCACAGTGATAACAACTAAAGCCTGGGGTCCAGTCAGTACAGATTATGTTTATCAACACAAAGGAATCTCTTCATAACAGCTCTGGTGCTGGTATTATTACCACAACATGCTGCATCCGTGTGGAGGTGACATTCCTGAGAAGGTGAAAGAAGGGACTGCTGGCTCATGGCAAGAAAATCAGTGGCTGGTTTCCAAGGATAGCCACCTGCATCATATTTCACCTGTATTTCTTTTTTGTAGCTAGGTCTATGTGTGCCTGAACTGTAGAGCAGGAACCCCCATACAGAAGAATTAGATTATCTTCAGCTATCCAACTGTTCACTGTATTGTGTCCACCCTTGGAGGTATTATATACTAAACACAGAATCTGAAAAGCTTACTACAAAATCTGTAAAAAGTTGACAGCAAAATCTGTTGTGAGAGTTAATTTTGAGGTTTTAAAGAAAGGTTTGGGTTCAAGGAAAGGGTTCAAACAAAGTTTGAAAGATACTGGCATAAGCAGCAGCACCAACCAATCTGAATGGCACACTCAATTACTATACAAATTGTGTGGCCAAAACTATTGGGCATTCAGCTGAGACCCCTCTCCTGCGTACATAGAAATTCCCCATCTGTCCTAAAATGCACACATACAGCTGAGCTACTGCACCAGTGCTGTCATAAAAACTCTCCTTACTATGGAAAAGAAAAATAACAAAAGGAGCAACTTACATTTTTCATATCACATCAGTTTCTTTTACCTCTTTCCAGAACCTTGACATTCACTTAAACATGCATTTCTGATGTCAGACCGTATACTCTGAAATTGATAAAACAAATAATTTGTATATTGTAGGTTGTCATCCCCTCATCCCAATGTTTTTCGCAGCTTCTCTTCTACAAGAGCACACATGGCTCGCACACCAGTACTTTATGGTCAGCATTTTTACTTTGCAACAGAAAATATGGATGTGTTTTTGTCAGCATCTTTAATGAAAAATCTTAGCTTTGCTGATGTTTTTATCTCTGACTTGTTATTATTGAAAATTGAATTAGCTACAGAAAGCTGTGTGGGTGTGGCCTTCGTTTAATTCCAACACAAAAGACACAGCCTTCATTTTGCTGACTCATCTTGTAAACTCTGGTGCCCCCTTTATTCTTTCATTCTACAGAGATTTGTTCAATGAGGTGCATAAATGAGTTCTGACAAGGACACTATGAATATTTTAGGTATCTGGGCCCAACAATAACACGTGGCTGGTACTGCTGTGTGGATGTTGTTAAAACAAGCAGGAGGTTTAAGTCTTCTGGAGAACTGAGGGTAACACTGCAATGTTGAAAAACCTGGAGGAAGGAAATAATGGCAGTGATGGCCTTACCAGCTATTTAGTGAGTTATTATTTGGTAAAATATGACAGCATAAAAATAGTTTATTTTATTCCACATTCACATTAGTTTAATACAGTAGAAATTATTTAATTTTGCAGTGTATTGGATTCATTTGTTAAACCTTTCCACATCTTTCTGCACTTAATTCTTCAGTCAATGTGGTAGATACAATATTTACAGCATCAAAACTGTACATGCCTCCCTAGTCCTCTCCCTGGGACACTGAAAAATGAGAACAGTGCCACGTAAGTGTGTACTTACATAGTCCTCTGATAAGGTACTGATAAACTGTGAAACCCATTAAGTTAACCTTCTTATGACAGACCAATGACATTGACGAAACAGAGGCAGTGGGTATTCATTGGGGCTAGCTCAAAGGTGAGAATGCTGTGTCTTTTTAATTTAGGCATCCAAGTTGTGCCCTACTTTATGGTCAATGAGGTCTGAGACATCAAACTAGTTATGTGTTATGTGAGGCATTCCAGAGAATCTGAATTATTTCCTAAGAATCCAGCCTGTTATGTTTTGTTAAGACAGATATGATCTATGCTCCTCCTTTTTCATCCTGTTTCTTATAGAATAGAATTGCACAATAGAATGTGCCTCATGACAGTTCAGTCAATATTATTTTTACTTTTCTATTTTTTATTACATAGTCTTACACACAGTCATAGTTGTCCTGCATATTGCACTCCATGATTGTGTATCTTGTTTGTACCTTGTTTTTATATCTGGTTAATTTGATGTCAGCTGGACAAACTGGTCCATGGACACTGACACAGACACACAGGAATATATATCTGACATCAACATGTGTGTACTTTTTCAAATTCATTGAATCCCCAATAAAGGTATTATACAGTCTTAACACACTTACTTATTATGTCAAAGCAACCAAGTGAAGAATTCAATCATAGAACCATGCACATAGCACATAGAGTAAGAACTAAATGTGGCACAATGGAGCTGAGTTCATTTGAACCTGCACCACTTTACAATCTGTAACCCATGAAATTGCTTCTGCATAAATACGCAACAATGTAAGTAGTTTAAATTAGGAGAGACTTCATCTAATCTGAGTGAGTCACTTTGTGTCGAAAAGTGGTGGGGATATAGGGGCTCAGATTAAGGTGTGAAGAGACACTTAGCTCACGAAACATCATAATACGCGGTATTAGGTTTACAAGAATGAGACGAAAAGATCCTTAAACAGTGTATTAAGTTTTTAAAGTTACTGATTGGTGCATGCACGTTTTGGGGTCATTTTATAAACAGTAGCTTTTTTTTTTTTTTAGCTTAAATTACTTTTTTTTAAAAGTGGTGGGGACAAAATCAGCCATTTCAAAAAGTGGTGGGGATATGTCCCCAGCGTCCCCAGTGTAAATGACACCTATGGTGATTATTAATATAATAAGATAATTTATTGACATTAAAGGGGGTGGTTAATCCATAGTGGTATAGAAGCACCCTTGATGGAGTCTAGACACTAGTGGTGGTGATGAAGGGATGAAGAAATGCTGAAGATCTAGATGTGATAAGGAGTGGATTTATGCTGAGCTTGAACTGGGCCTGGATCTGATGAGCAGAAGGTGAATGGGGTGGAGGAGGGCTGCAGCAATTTTGAACTGAAAAGACAGCTGATAGCATCAGAGAGGAGAACAGATTTTAAGATTTGACAGCGACTACATGATGGAAATTGAGACAAAATCTGAATCTAGTAATCTATTGACTGAATGCCCATGGTCAGCTGATTAGAGAAGCAGGAAGAGAGAGTGTGAATGAGAGAGAGAGAGAGAGAGAGAGAGATTTTTTTTTTTTTCAAATTATTTTTATTTTAGAGAAAGAGATTTGTATTATTTTAATTTTTAATTTTTAACATTTTTATTTTATTTTTTATTTAAATACACACACAAACACACTTTTACTGTTTTATTTATTTTATTGTATTTATTTAATGAACTGCATGAAATTAATTGTTCTTTTGTATTATCTTTTGAGTTTGGCAATATTGTTCTTTGA